CATACACACAAACATACACATACACACATACATACACACATGCCTATACACACATACATGCATATATACATACATATACATATAAATACATGCACACACATACACATCCACATACACATACATATACACATATATGTGCACACACATGTGCACACACCTATATCATACATATACACACATACATATATGCATACACATTTACGTGCACACACATGTGCACACACCTATATACACACACATATACACATACACATACATATACACATACATACATATACATATATACATGCATGTATCCCAATTCAATTCAGGGCTGATCTGTGCCTGTACCTGTGGCAGACGTGAGTGCACATCTGTAAACGCGGCGAGGACTGCCAGTAGTGCTCCCTTCCTCGCTGCTCCTCTGGAAACGCAGCTCTCGGAGCCGAGCGGACCCTCAGGGGCCACGCACCCTGCACTTGCTTCCGTCCCCACTTCCTCTTCAGGTTGCTCGATCTCTTCTTCCTCGGGTGTCAGAATTTCCTTCTTGGTCTCTAAGCAAAATTTAAAATAAGGGACAGGTGACAATGCAGTGGAGATACATGGTCCATGTGGGAAGGTCCTGCTCGCGTCCTCCCTGAGTGTGCCTGGCTGGGACCAGGGTGGCTCATGGCATGAATGCCTGTTGCCCTGTCTCCTCCCTCTGGCTCTCTTGTAGAAGAGATTGGCGAGCTTAAAATTAAAAGTAACCCCAAATGCAGCTTTTTTCTGACCGCATCTAACTTGACAAGCTCAACTCCTTCGAGGTAGTGACTCCTTTGCTCCTGGGCTGTAAAGCCCCGTGTTCCCCTCAGTCCCAGGGCCGTCCTTTCCAGGTTGTCCCCGCGTGGCACGCACCTGCCTGAGGAGCCTGAGGGGCGGTTAGGGCCAAGCAGCCGGGGTGGTCAGGGTCCCCAGGAGAGCAAGGCACAGAGTCGGGCGGAGTGGTTCTCTGTGGTTCCCTCCCCGCCAACGTCGGTCTCTGCGATGGTTCTGAGCAGTTCCTTCCTAGACCCGATGCGTCTCGGCTGCATGTGGGGGTATCTGCGTGGACTGTGGAGGCAGGTCAAGCTCCTGTGTCGTGGGAACGGCAGAAAGACCTCGCGAGCTTCCCTTCCTTCCTCCTCCTTCATGCAGGCTCACATCGTAATTCCCTGCCAGTAGAGACCTGCCCTGTTTAGAAGGAAGCTGGCCAAAGGACACGCTGGTGTCTCCCAGCCCGCAGCGCAGTGGTTAACCCCAGCGTCAGGAGCGTCTTCCGCTGCGCTCACGACCTGCTGCTGTCGACGCTGGTCCCTCTGTTTGCTCCTCAGAGTTGGTGGCGACAGCGGCCTCTCTCACAGCGTAGAAACTTACGGGACGACAAAGATACAGTGAATGCCTTAGCTGTGTTTTCTCCAAGCTGAACTCTGCCTCCCTCTTCCGTCTATTCCTGGAGCGTGTTTTCTGGCCCTGCCATCCAGATGCCACCCGGTCATGTCCGTCCTGTAGCCGCACCAGGCTTGAGCTCGAGCGAGTCTATGTGGCCGGTGACCTCAGGGCCTTTCAGCACTTGGAATGTGCTCTTCCGGGCTCACTCCTGTCCCCATCTATACCCCCGCCAGCGCTTGGCCCTCTGTGAAGCCGCCCTGCGCCCTTCCCTTCGAACTCTGGGCCACTGGTCCCTCATGTGTTCCTGTGAGCCCCGACATGGCAGGCCCTGGACACATGTCCGGACACCACCGAGTTTGTGGACAACTGGTGACCACGGCCTGTGAAGCCGGAGCATCTAAGTTCCAGAAATGGCTCAGAGCATGCCGTACTCGGCCTGGAAGGTCGCGTGGGGTCCACACACGTCACTCAGGCAGCCGCCTTCACACTTAAGGTGGCGGGCACACAGACCCCTGCCCCGTCTTGCCGCCTCCGGCACTCTTCCATCTCGCTTGGGCAGTCTTTGGAGACTAGCTCGGCCCCAAGCTCTCTCCCAACTCGGCATCATCTTTCTTGAATGTGGCCTGGTTTCTGAAGCCCAACACGAGGAGTGACTAGTGTCTGCATGCGGTGGCCTCTCCTGGCCTGTGTCCGTGAGAACCCAGCCTCCCACTGTGCTTTTGCGTGTCTGTGTCTGTTGAAGACACCAAGTTACAGACGAAGCTGGAGGGCGTGTGTAGAGGAGCACCTCAGAGCACCCGTCCAAGTGTGGGGAGCCAGGTTCCTCCTGGAAGTGTGGGCGACCTGCGGCCAGGCTGGGACACGTGCCGGCCCCCGCCCACCGTACTCTCGGAAACATAGTGCAGTTTTGGCATCAGCCGCCTGCCTGTTGTGGAAGGGAGCCTCGGCTGCCACCCCACCCCGTGGCCACACTGACGCTCACTCCTGTGCCAGTTGCCCCAGCGCTGGGGGTCGTGCCGGTACAAGAGCACACGTGGGTAAGAGATCCCGTCCTGCCGTGGTCGGGGCGGATCAGCACAGATTTCTGACCTGCGCGGAGAGGACAGACCAGCGGGATTGTCATTAAACGGTCAGCGAGGGCCCCGATGGGCAGGTCGGCGGCGATGACCACAGTACTGTCAGGAATGTGACTCTGCTGGTCTGCACCCCTGCCCGAGCTTAGTAAAGCACGCGGGGCCAGCTGGTGTTCACTGAGCACTTAACCCGCTGCTGCTCTGCATGACACTCCGTCCTCAGACCCCATCTGCAGCGTTCTACGAGTGAGCGCTATTAGATTTCTCCCGCTGAGGGGACCGAGGCCTGAGAGTTTGTCCAGTGTCCCAGTGCAAGCCCTCGAGGGGCTGGGCGTGAAGTGGTGGCCTGGGCCAGGGCCTGGGCGTCTCTGTGTTGTGCTATACCACGCAAGGCCCGGCTCCTCTGTGCTTGTTGGTGTGGAGGCCCTAGTGTCCTAGGTTTGGGGGAGAGTGGAGGGGCCTAAGTATGGCGACGCCGATGGTGGAGAGCGCTGAGCCGGGTGCCGGCATGTGGCAGAGGAAGCCGGTTCCAGACTGCTCGTCCTCCGCGGGCTCCGTCCATCACCGCGCCCGTCCTCTCCTGATGATGAAAGTGACCTGGACGTGCTGCTGTGTGGGTGCAGGTGGCTGGAACTCTCAGAGGGGTCCCGGCACTTTTCCACCGTGGCGGAAGGAGTCTCTGAGAAGTGCCACTGTCCCCAGGACGATCATTGCCATAGACAGTGAACCGACTTCCAGAATCGGCTTCTGCCCACGGCCACGCCACGGCCACGCCCCGCTCTGTGGGACGAGAACTGTGGTCGTGGTCCTATACCGAGTCTCCGGCTTGTCTCCTGGCCTTTGTGGTTCCCTGGACCGTGTGCGAGAAAAGCCTGTGCCCCCGGAACCCTGACTGAACACCCAGCACGGGTGGGCGCGGAGTCAGAGCCGGCAGAGAAGTTACCAGGTTTCTCTTCTGGAAAAGTCGCTGGGTTTACTGTCCTAACTGCCCAGTGCGAAGAGAGAGAACAGAAGCCCTGGAGGGCAGCGGGCAGAGCAGGAGTGGGGGCTGATGGTGACGGAAGGCTTCCCTCCCAGAAGGCCCTGCGTGTGGGCCCCACATGCCAGCCTCTGCCCTGCTCTGTGACCGCCTGGCAGTCCGAGCCTTAGGACAGAGGCCCCGGGAGCTCCCTGCTCCCGTGAGGACACAAGAAGGCACCGTGGATGGAGCAGGAGGGGCCTCCCCAGGCTCGGACTCCGCCTGCCCGTCCTCTGGGACGGCTCCAGAGCTGTGTGTGACACACCCGTGCTGTCCCCGGCCGTCGGGCCTGGATCTGCTGTCGCTGGCAGAGGCTGCTGCGTGCAGGGCGTGGGGAGCCCCGCCAGCCTGGTTTCCGGGCTGTCCCTTCCCAGCCGCGTTCTGGGTCCGGGCCGCAGGGCAGAGGGGGCTGCTCTCAGGCCTCCACGTGCAGGGGGTGGGGGTGCAGAGGAGAGAGGTCCATGCTCATTTCTAGGACAGCGGAGCGTGCAAAGGTAGTCACGCGCTCTACGGAGGGTCAGCATGGCCGGTCAGGGACGGGGATCCTGTCAGCACATGTGACGCAGTGCACACGTGACGCAGTGCACACATGACTCAGTCGTCTGCGCGTTGGACCTCCGGCACAAGTAACAACTCAGCCTCTCGGATAAACAGCTTGGAAGAGCGACGTTTTAAAGTTGAGCGTTCGAGGGCAGCAGGGAGCCTGCAGGTGGCACTAACCTGAAGTAACAGAGCAGGTCTCCAGAGATGGCGGGTTACCCAGGAGTGAGCGGATCCCAGGCGTGCTCCCAGTGGGGGTGCCCCGCTCCTGCTTCTGGAAAGGGGATCTTGGCTGCAGGGGATGCCGACAGGGCGGGCAGCTGTCCTCACAGAGGTGGCTCTGGGCTGGGTGAGGTCTCTGCGCTCTGGGGTCGTTCTCATCACAGGCGCCCGCCAGGCCGCCTGCATCTCCGGGAGCAGCTGGCGGTGGGACTGCAGGCGCCATGCCCGCACGGCTTCCCGGCGCTGCCCTGCTGGCTTCCGGCACCCGCGTCTCTTGCACGTTTTCTGTCCAATTCAGCCTGAAGTGGCCTGTTCTTCTCCTGCCGAACTTTTCTTCTTTCCTCAGGGGCCGCCTTTAGTCTTGCCCACGTGTCATGTCATTTGCTCTCCCACCCTTGTCACACCCCTGTACCCCCTGAACCACGGACACATGCACACTCAGAGACACGGCTCTTAGGACAGGAACGTGCTGTTACATCCTGAAGAGGTGACTCGTGCTTAATGTTACATTTTACTGAAACTTGATTTCAGACAAGGTTCCGTCAAATACAGCTTCATAACACGCAGTGAGTGCGAACCCCCTCCCCTTCACGCGCGGACGGGGGGTTTCCGTGTGCCCAGCGCATGGCCACAGGCAGGAGTGGTGACAGGAGCAGCGCCTCCATGCAGCCGGGCCTCAGGCGTCCCCAGCATTTGGTAGGCGGAGTCCCTGCTGTTCTCCGGCCATCGTGGTGACCGGCTGTGGCGTCTCTCCTCAGGAACCCTGGAGCACGCAGCACATCCCGGCGCTCTTCTCCGCCTTCTGCGGCCTCCTGGTGGCGCTGTCCTACCACCTGAGCCGGCAGAGCAGCGACCCCTCGGTGCTCCTGTGAGTAGCTGCACCTGCCTTCACAGCAGGCCGGGCGTCCGCAGCCGGGCTCATCCCTGCAGTCTGTGTCCCTGTGTGTAGCTAGCCGGTCACTGGTCACTCCTTTCGGGGGACAGGAACGGGGGACAGGGATGGTGTCAGGTCGGGGGGAGGTGCAGGACCAGGCAGAAATGGATGGAAACCAGGGCGCACTCCCGGCATGCACTTCACCTCCGCCCTTGTGCTTTCAGAGTGAAGTGCACGTGGTGCTGGTGGATGGCAGGCTGCTCCCGGCTGCTCCCGGCTGCTCGCACCGGCCAGCACTGGGACCGGCCGGGGGTACGTGGCTGAGAAGCTGCAGCCCCAGCGTGTGCCCTCCCCACCCGCCAGCAGCTTTGCTCCTTTACTCGGGGCAGACGCCCTGCGGGGACCGGCCAGGCCTCTGAGAGCCAAGGCATTTGTCTTTGTTGCTTTCCCTTCCTGCATGACCAGTGCCTACCAGGTGTAAAGTGAAATTTGTGCTTAAGTTCTAAAATGTATTTAATATTATCCTTAGTCACTTGAGAGCATGCATTCCAATCTTCCCTTTAATCTGTCGTTACATCTTTGGTAACTATGGCTGTGAGGACTGAAACCCTTCATGTGACAGCGAAGTGAGTTTCGGGTACCAGTGTCTCGTGTCCTCCATCCAGACGTACAGAAGGTTTCTGTGTAAGAGAACGTCACTGCTTGGAGGCCAGAGACACCCAGGCCAGGCTGTTCGGTGCGGTGCAGTAGGCAGGGGAAAAGATGAGGAAGAGCACAGTTAAACCTGCACAATTATTGTGTCGAAAGTATGCTTGGCATGACGCGGGCTTCTGCTCTGTGGTTGGTGAGGGTGCAGCCTTGGTGGGCTGGCAGGACAAGAGGGTCCCCTGCTGCTGACAGTCAGGGTGCCGACACACTCAAGGGCTCAGCCACTTTCATTAGGATGGAATTTGAAAACCAAGACCATTCCCGTCATGATCACGGGAGCACACACCTCTTCTTATTGTGAACTTGTTCATGGAGAGAGCGTACATCCTCGCTGGGTGGCAGGCCTCCGTCGCTTACCTCGAGCACTGGCCTGGGCACATATTTTTAAAAGTAACCCCATTGTTTTCCACTTTCAGGTCCTTTGTTCAATGCAGATTCGTTCCTAAATTCTTACATCAAAACCTGGAAGAGTCAGCTACTGACCCCCTGCCCAAGAAGATGAAAGACTCGGTGGTGAGATATTTGCGTCGCGTAACACAGCAGGGGTGGGACTGCCTGTCCGCAGCACTGGCTCCCAGTGGGGCTCCAGCTAGACGGCGTCTTGGCCCGCACCTGGTGCTCTGGCTGCCGAGGGCTGTTGGCACACTGGCCGGCGTGTCCCATTGTCCTCGTTTGCACAGACACTTCCATCAGTGCCCATTGCTGGCACAGACAGAGGCAAACCTGCACTCAGCGGACCCGTGTCCTGATGCGCCTGCAGATGCCTGTGCTACCCCTTCCCGCCTCGGCTCACGCCGGCTCAGAGCCCCTCTCCAGACCTTCGCATTCTCCGCACCCTTGCCAGGGGCCCTCGTGTTCTAGACTTATGGCTGGGGCGGCAGAGAAGGGAGTCACACTCCTGCTGGAGACGGGCAGAAGGAAGAGAGCCTGAGGTGTGACGTAGCAACCCTCCCTGCTCCCGGACAGGGCCCGGGCAGCTGCACACATCCTGACAGACGTGACCTCCCTGTGTCCTCGGAGGGCAGAGCTCGCTGCTGCACTGGGGCACTGAGGCAGAGCCCCCGACACCTCAGACGCACACTTGTCCTGTTCTCAGGGGTGATAAGTGAGAGGACAAGCACTCCGAGCTGTGGGCTGCCCGTGTTCCAACCGGAACAGGGCCTCATCCTCTTGGCATCTGAGTATCTAGGGGTGCTCGGCACATTCTGTCCAGATGAGGGAAAGTGTCCTCTAGGGCAGGGCACAGGGCTCGTGGCCAGCCTGATACTTTAAGAAACACACCCAGCTGTGTGTCTCCAAGTGCGCTTGTAGTTTAAGCTACAACCTTGGGACTCTTTGTCACCACAAGAGAATTGAAGGACAAATCACTTGATATAAGTAAGGCTGTGGCTCATAATCTTAAAGGGGGTGACACATTTAAAAGTGGGGCATTGGGTGAAGCTGCTGGGGCCAACGAGATGCCAACTAAGAACGCAAGTACAATGCGACATTCCACCACAGCTTCCACAACCTGCCTCTCGCATCTGCACCAGGAGACGCCAGGGAGACAGACAGTCCAGATGGGTTTCTGCAAACCCACAGGGTGGACCGAAGTCTACCCAAAGCCCACCAGTGAAGATCTTAGAAACATTTGCCTCCCAAAGAGCCCCTGATTTCATGAGTGAAGATGTTCTTCCACATTCTTAATTACTGCAGCGAAATAACACATGAATTATGAACAGTCACAGCAGGACACCGGCCAGTGGCTGCCCCGTGTCACAGCCATCACGAGGTGGGCGGGTCAGGTGTGCCTGACTCGGCTGAGCCTCTGCAGTGCCCGTGTCATGTGGAGCACGCAGGACGTCAGAGCTCACGCGCCGTCTGCCGTTTCTCCGGCAGGCCTCTGCTCCAGCCCCAGCACTTGAGTGGGAGAATGGGTCCAGCTTGTCCCTGCCCCAGGTCCGCGTCTGCCCCTCGTCGCCTCTAACCTTGTTTCTCCCCATCTCTCTCTGCCCTCTCACTTCCTTCACTCTCTCTCTTCAACGGTAGGTCATATGTGAAGCCCCCGGAGAGCCTCATAGCCTGCCACATCCTAGCCCCTGCCCGCTCTGTCTCCCTGCCCAGGGTATCTACACTTTGACGATGTCCCCCAGGTGATTCTGTGCCGGGGACCACAGACTGTGCCCCAGGACCCATTGTTCTATCTCCACCTGAGCGAGAGCAGTATGCAGCCCCAGTAGTCAGCAAGTCACGGCCTCCCTCCAGTGGTCGGCCTGCTTCGCCTCGCCAGCCAGCCTTCTGCTGTTTGGCCTCGCTTATCTGAATAATTTTGACACTCTTAATCGTGTTTCCATCGGGCCGGCATGGCCTGGCAGTTTAGACAGCTGGATCACACATCCTGACCGTGCGGAGCAAGTCCTGGACCCGGCGGCTTGAGAAGCACACCAGTATGTGTGTGAGCTGGGTCATGTTGTCACCTTGTTTCCTGAAGTTATCCCGACAGGAGAAAGAAATGGCGGGGAAGGGATTGTGGTGTGACCATGCCCCATGGGGGAGCCTTCTCCTTCTCCCACCCCACCCTGCCTTTCTGTTTCTCTCTGGTAAACAGATGGGCTCTCTGGTAAAATTAAAAGAAAATCAAGTTTACATTTGTAACTTCCATTGTATCCATTTTCCTCAGTTCCTAGAGACAAAAAAAAAAAAAATTTCAAATAAGAATCCCCTCATTTTTGTGTGTAAATTTCAAGCAGCTTCTTCTAAACCGTGGGCTGCAGCATCAGGTGTCTGCGGCCTTCTACACCGTGGTCCGCCGGGTGTGGGTGCAGGACCGGGGTTTTCTGTGTCGCCCTCTGAGGCCTGGAGCGTAGATGCCACATGAAATGTGAAGGCGAAGTTGTGTGCACTTGTATTCTTTGGTTGATCATGGCTAGACGTGCCGTTAACATGGGGACATTCATATTATTAATATTGTTTTAGATGTGCCAGCTAGTGAGAGAGAAATGTCAGTTACATTACTATATAGCAGAGAATGGTCAGAAAGTTTAGTAGTCAATTAGAAGAGAATCCATAAATCCCACCAGAGAAAATTTAGACAAGCTAGAGCATTCCAATGCATTCGAAATAATCTTAGAAAATAGGATGAAAACATGATCTAACTCACAACAGCGATAAACTATATAAATTGGTAATTTGTGACATGAGAAGTGTCAAAATACAGAAAGCGACAGCAGTCTATTAAAATGTAAATGAAGATCTGAGTAAGTGGTGATAAACAGACCTAACCTGATTTGCCTTAGGAAGGCTGAGATTTATAAAATGCCCCTTTTTTCCTACTAAATTTACAGATTTAATATAGTTCACAACAGTTCCAAATGAATTATATTCAAAACCTTGGGAAATGATGCTAAGATTCATTTATAAGAACAGCAGTTAATAGTAATTTTTAAAAACCTGAAAAGGAAGAATAAGGAAAAAGAGCTTATCACTTTTGAGATTAAAGAGAATCAGGAATTCAAAGTCTAGTGTCGATGTGATGGTTTAGAAGTGGGAGGGGAAATAGATCAGATGTGCTAATCCCTCATCAGACACCAATGTAAATTAGGGAGAGATTTGGTTATTTTCGAAATGGGGAGAGTAGGCAGAGAGAAAGGAGGGAAGGGGAGGGGAGGAGAGGAGAAGAATGGAGAGAGGAGGAGGAGAGGGGAGGAGAGAGGAGGGGAGAGGAAGAAGGGGGAGGAGGCGAAGGGAGGGGAGGAGGGGAGAGGAATGGAGAGGGGAGGGGAGAGGAGGAGGGGAAGGCAGGTGAGGGAGAAACACCCAATAGGACTTTTCTATTTCTGGTCTTACAGCAGGCTAGATTATTATAACAAAACTCTGCTGATTAAAAATTAAAAATGTATGGGCTAGCAAGAGGTGTGAGGTTAAGATCCCACATGGTCAACTTCAAGGTTTGAGTCTTGGACCCTGTGGCTTAAAAATCACACCGGGAGCATGTATGTGTGTTTGTGTCCGAAACCTCTAGAGGAGAATGGAGGAGAAGGGATTGCCACATGGCCATCTCCCTAGGGGGTGATTCCTCTCTTCCCTTTTCTTTCTCTCTGCTTTTCTCCAGAGAGCACATGTGCCCCACAGCAAAACTAAACTAAACTAAACCAAACTAAAACTTAAAAAATATTCTAAACAAATTCTTAAAATTATTATTTTATTTTTTTAAAGGTTTTCACTATAGGGCACGTGTGCTCGCCAGACAGACAGAGAGAGACAGAAAGCGAGAAATCACCCCCACAGAGGGGATGGTCACGCCGCAATCCCTTCTCCTCCATTCTCCTCTTGGGATCTTGGGCATGCACGCACACGCACCCGGCGTGAGTTTTAAGCCACCAGGTCCAGGACGCGAACCGCCGTCGACTATGTGGGAGTCCAGCAACAGCCATTACGCTAACTGCTAGTTCCCAAAATTATTTTTTAAAGACATAATTAGTGAAGGAATAGAACAGAGCTTATGCTTCTAGCACCGTACAGGAGAAAGCATGCAATGTTAAAAGCAAGTTATTAATACGTAACAAAGTAAAATTCAACTCCTATGTTGTGATATACTGAACTTAAAAGTCAATCCCAGGTGAATTACAAAACTAAATAAATAAAAAACTTGGAAATCTAAACTAGAGAAAATATTTTCATGATATTAGAGTAGGAAGGCTTTTCGGGGGGTGGGTGGGGGTTTTCCATAGGGCACATGGAAGAGACATGGAAGAGAGAGATAGTGAGAGACAGTGAGAGACTGGAGAAGGAAAGTGGAAATCACCCCAGGGGGTGGGGGGTGACCATGCTGCGGTCCCTTCTCCATTCTCCTCCTGAGATTTTGGGCATGCACTCATGTGCCTGGCATGATTTTCAAGCCAGGGATATGAGTGCATGTCTGGGACTTGAACCCTAGTCAGTCATGTGGAAATCCAGCACTTTAATCACCACACACCCTGCTGGCCCCAGCAATTTCTGGATGAGCCGTGGTGGCACACTCAAGCCCTGGCTGGCCAGAAGACCAGGGTGGGACCGTGGCATGGAGAGATCCTGTCAAGGGTACCCCCCTCTCTCTCCGTTCTCTGTATTCTTCCTCATGACAGAAGTAAATAAAGTTTAAAAAAAATTAAATTAAAAAAACTCTAATTCATTATAATTATGACCTTTGATTTATTATTTTAAATTATACGTAAAAGAGACTTCAAACACCAAGTCACAGATGGGAAACAATTTTAAAAATAAGTGTAGCTGATAAAGTTCTAGTGTCTAGATGAGAAAACCAGATCTCTCCACTGAAGATGAGTTTGCATCATGAAGTAAGGGGCTCAGTCATTACCATCTGTGTCTTCTTCAGAGAAGCGTCTGTCCAGAATTTCTGCCCATGTGTGGCTGGGGAGGGGCTGACATTTTAGTGTGGAGTTGTAGAATTCGTTATAGATTATGTGTAGAATTCCCACGTTAGCTACGTGTTTAGTAAATATTTGTCCCAGTCTTTGGTTTGTCTTTTCACTTTTGTTTATGCCTTGTGGGGGGCAAACGGCACCGTTCAGGTGCAGATGTGCAGTCTGCCCGGTTTCCCGGCGTGGCGGCGGGAAACCGCGTGACCGTGGGGAGCACACTTCACCCTGGCTCGCTCTTTCCAGAAGGACGGCTTGAAGTCGGACCTCACCGCCTGCTCGGTGGCTGCAGTCCTCTCCTTCGCTGTCAGTGCCAGCACCGTGTCCCTGGCCTTACGCGTACGTGTCCCTTCCCCTTCGCCCTGGTCCTGCCTCCTCACTGTCCGTGGTGACACAGCTGCTGGGCATCCAGTGCACTGACAAGCCAGTTGAGCCCAAGTAAGGAAACAAAGGGGCAGCAGAGAGGCCAGAGGGACACATCCCTGTGCTGGGAAGAGGGTGTCCAAGGTGTGGTTTTGTCCACACCGCAGATCTGGCTCGATTGTCTTACCTTCCACTCTCCCGTCTGGGGAGAGACTGTCTGCAGAAGCAGTAGCACGTCTTGTGGAGTCAGGGACAGGCAGAGGTGCTGAGAGGCTGAGGGCAACTGCCACGAGCAGAGGGGGAGCAGCTGCTGTGTCGGGGCAGGCTGGGTCACAGCCAGGACCATTGGGGCAGTGGCAGCCAGAAGGGGAGGGCTCCAGATGAGGGTTCTGGCCACGACCTGACAGACAGTGGCGGCCTTTGTATGAGAAAACCGTAGGTGGTGGACTCTCCGTGACTGGGAAGAGACCACTAGCTATTGGTCACTCCGCCCCTTTCGTCGTGAGACAGTTCGGGACTGTCCCGATGGGCAGAGTGCTCTCGGTGTCTGTCCCTCCTCTGGCCGCTTCGCCCTCCCAGCCCCGTGGGTCTCAGGGCAGACTCAGTGTCCTGGTAGGGGAAGGAATATCCAAGGGCCTAGAACCAGCCCGGGGCCGCTGCCTGTCCCTTGAGTGAAGGAGGCCGGGTGAGTGGCACCTCCTGCTGTGGGCGGGCGGCCGTGCCCCACCCTGGCCGGGTAACAAGCTCTTGCCCTTTGTCATCACAGCCATTCCTCAGTGTCGTGCTGTTCGCCCTGGCAGGCCTTGTGGGCTTCGTCACGCACCACTTGCTCCCTCAGCTCCGCAAACATCACCCCTGGATGTGGATCTCACACCCCATCCTCAAAAACAGGGAGTACCAGCAACGGGAAGTGCGAGGTGAGTGACGTACCCGCCCTGAGACACGGGCGAGGGTGGCAGCCTGCTTCCCACCTGCAGTGAGCACGCTGTGTGAGGGCAGGACTGTGCCCCAGAGTGCCAGGGGCACGTTACGTGTGTGACCCCACGGTAAACAAAAGGGCTGTCCCTGCAGCCTGGCAGGCCCTGGTCACAGTTCTGACTGACTGCTCCCGATTCCGTAGGGCACTGCTGAGCCCACAGGGCCTTCCCGGCTCTCGGAAGTTACAGCTGTGCAGGCGCAGGCACTGCGGTCTGTGAGGGTGGGAGGCTGACTCAGCGGAGAGTACTGGATCTGCCAGGTGTCATCGGCAAGTTTGGTAAACGGGTGACAAAGGGGAAGCGG